AAGTGTCTCTTTTCCCCTTCGCATCCTCCAGCGGCACCATGTGAGCCATCGGCAAGAGAGGGCACCAGCGAAAGGCATCCTCTATAAGATAAGTCTTATAAATATATACATTTATGATAATTAAGACTGAGCTAGCAGGTGAGAAATCCTAGTCATTGGCCAAGCAGCGTTTGTACCTAATACAAGTTTCTGTGTATTAATTTGGGCCCTAACTCAGGCGGGCAGCTGGCGTAAAGTGCACACGTGGCAGTGGAGCTCGGCGGCTTTTAGTGGAAAGATTTATCGTAACACAGTTGTGTGTGATTGTCTGTGTGATTTTGTGTGGGAGTGTGTCAGTATAAATGGGAAGGTATGAGAGAGAGTACAGTGTGAGTGCATGCGTGTGTCAGAGTGTGTCAGTGGCTGTGTCCCTGTGACTATGTGAGTGTGTAAGATTGTGTAAGTGTAAATGATTGTGTGATACCATGTAGTTCTGTTGAGTATGCGTGTGTTTGAGTGTGAGAACATGTGTGAAGGGCAAGTGTGTGTCACTATGTTAAATGCATATCACTGCATATGTGCATATTTGTGTCACTGTGTCTGAGACTATGTGTACATCTGAGAGTGTGTATGTGATGTGTGTAGATGTGAGTTTGTGTGTGAATTTGCACATATGTAATACTCTGAGTGTGTATCACTGCAGCTGTGCTGGCATTTGAGTGTGTGCAAATGTGCAATATTATGCATGTGTGAGAGTGTGTTAGGGTGACTGTGATCATGTGTGAGTAAGAGAGTGTGAGAGCATGTGCTGTGTGATTGTTTAACAATGCGTGTGCATATGTGCTAGTGTGAGTGTATGTGTGAATGTGTGTGCATTTGAGAGTGTTTGTACGATTATGGATTATGTGTTTGTGAGTGTGTGGTTGTGATTTGTGAGTGTGAGGATGTTTATAAGTGTCTGAGAGTGTGATTCAATTAGCATGTGTGTGCGCACACATGCAAGTGTGAGGTGAGTGTGAATGTTGAATATTTGTGTGAGTGTATAAGTATGTGAGCATGAGGGGGTTTGAGTCTTTTTTTGTTTGTTTAGAGACAGGGTTTCTCTGTGTAGCCCTGGCTGTCCTGGAACTGGCTCTATAGACCACATTGGCCTACAAACTCACAGAGACCCATTTCTGCCTCCTGAGTGCTGGGATTAAACATGCTCACCATCACTGCCCAGCAAGTTTGAGTCTGTGAGTTAGTGTGTATGACTCAGTGTGAGTCCGAGTCCCTGTGTGTGTGTGTGTGTGTGTGTGTGTGTGTGTGTGTGTGTGTGTGTATGACTCAGTGTGAGTCTGCATGTATGAATGTTTGAATTTATGAGGTCTTGAGAATATTGAGATTGGGTGTGAGTGTGTATTTTGAGGCTATCTCACTATGTAACCAAGGCTGGCTTTGAATTCACCCGCCTCTGCCTCCTTAGCACTGGGATTCCAGGTGTGAACCCCTACAACTGGCCCATTTCAGCATCTCAAGACCCAGGTAGGGCATGTTCAAGGCCCTGGGTTCGGTTCCCAGGACTTAAAACCGCTCAGTCAGTAAGCATGGTGGGCAGGCCAGGTAATGTCCAGCAGCCGGGAAGCACATGTCCAGATGAGCTTGTCCACAAAAAATCTTTGGATGAGTATGGAAACCAAAATCACCCCAAGGCATGCTGGAATCTTCTGGGTGAGATGTAGAAACCTTCACCACAACTCTTCCTCATCCAGTCCAGCCTGCTGCCCTGAATTGCAGTGCCTGCTAAACTAGACCATACACTCTGGGCCTCAGTCTCCGAATTGGCCAAACAAGTGTCAATTCATCTCGGACCTTTGCACTCCAAAGGCCCACACCTTCTCTCATGTGTATGGACACATGGAGGCACACACCTGTACATTAAGAGGGTTCATGTCTTCCTTCTTCCGTGTTTCCATGTTTCTCTAATGCCCCCCCTTGTCCTCCACACCAACTTTCCTCAGCCCTGGGCTCTCCATTCACCTACCATGGTCACCAGGGTTATGACCTCCACCTTGGGAAACTGAACTGGACACAGCCAGGGCCAGCTGCAAAGCCCACTGCCCAGGATGGGCCTGTTGATCTGTGTGCCATCCATCCGAGGGCTCTGCCTTCCCCTGGGGCCACCATGAGAGTTCTCAGTTTATTCTGCCTGAGCACGCAGGAGACCAGATTGGTGGCGGCCAGGCACATCCACAGAAGCCCAATATAGACTTCCAATTATCTTTTAATTTCACTTCTGACTTCATTTGTTCATTTCAGTTTTCTCTAAACAGAGATTTAAAAAAAAATGTAATTTATGGCATTTAGGTAGCGTTTGTTCACCTGCAGATGGAATGCGACCTGAGTTGGAGTTCGAGGTAGAATCCTAACGCTCTGAAAGAGAGGTGCTGCCCGCAGGGACCCCAGAGCCCTCTTTCTTCTGCCTTCTCTGTATGAGCGGTGGCTTGTGACCTTTCCGATATGCAATTCTCAACCCTGGATTCCACTCTCCTTCTGTGCTTGGGCCTTCATGGAGTCCCCCACAGTAGGCAATCCCCCTCCTCTTGAGGGTCCTCTCCTCTCATGGCTACCTTCTCTGCAGCAAAGGAACAATAAACACACATTTCAAACATTCTCAAGACTGCTGAGAGGTGGAGACCTCCATCTCATGTCTCCCAGGGGGGTCTGTGGGCATCAGCTCTGACCTGACCTGCAGCCCACCTGATTCAGCTGACGCCCCCTCCCTTGCTGGGTCTAGTCCACCAGGTCCAGGGTCACTGGTCCACGAGGAGTCAATCCTGCAGAAGACAGACACCTTGCTCGGGACCTTTGGGTATAATAAAGATTGAAAGAAGAGATTGAGGAGGGAAGAGCCAGTTTGGAAGGATGGAGAGCTCAGGAAAGCAGTCATGCAAGGGCCCAGGGAGGCCTGGAGTGTTTGACTGGACCTGGGCAAGTTGGAAAGATTCCCACCAGCAAAGATAAGGAGGTCTCGCCTGCAAGAGGTAACAAAGCTGAGCACTCTAGGCAGTGATTGGAACACAGCACAGAAGGGTAAACTGAGGCTGTAGAGCAGAGGGTCACACAGATAAGGGTCTGATAAAGGGGTGAGGCTCCTAGGAGGCCAGCAAGATGGCTCCATGGGTAAAAAGCTCTCAGCCAAGCCTGGCAAACGGAGTTCAGTCTCAGGGTTTACATGGTGGGAGGAGAAAACAGGCTCCTAAGGTTGGCCTCTGACCGTCACATGAGTGCTATGGCATGCACGCACACACACACACACACACACACACACACACACACACACACACACTGTAACAAAAAAAAGTGCAGAATTTTCCCATGATCAGAGCCCTCAGAACCAAGTTCCTGGGCCCTCAAAGTGGATCTTATTTTCCCTTTTCAGTCAGAGGACAACATTTAAAAAGTGGAGCATGTACAGAGCATCTAGGCAGCTCAGCCACCTGAATCCTGGGCACCGAGGGAGGCTTATGCAGAGCAGAGCTGGGCCCAGCTCTTGCTCACTGACTTGGTAACTCTCTGGTAGCTGCAAACTGCACCCACCCTTGAGGACCCTTGGAGGACCCTGGTGTGTGTGTAGTGGGGGAATAGGAACAGCTGAGAATCACAGAGCTTTAGCAACATGGGAGCTCACACATGTTAATTATGACCTGAGGAGGTACATATTCTTTCACACATGTTAATTATGACCTGAGGAGATACACATTCTTCACACATGTTAATTACAATCTGAGGAGGTGCTGTCACATTCCCTCCCCCATCACTTTTCAGATAGGGAAATGGAGGCACAGAGAAGTGAAGCTACTTGCCTAAGGTCACACAGTTGGTGAATAGCAAACTTGAGCAGTTTGGGTCCAGGGTCCACAGTGCTAATGTTAAGGTGGGTGTGGATGGGTTTGAAAAGTTTCTACATCCAATAAGCCTCTCTGCCTATGCAATAATCCAAAACAGACCAAATCAAACCAAATTAGAATAAGCCTTCCAGTCCCTCAAAGAGGAGATGGGGGGGACCAGAAAAAACCGAGAGTCTGGTTTCTGGGGGACAGTTTAAATACCCGAGCATCTCTGGGGGAGGGGCAATCATTTCAAGGGCTTTCTGAGATGCAGCAGGGTTTGTGGGGAGATGGAGGAGTGGGGCTTGGGTCCACCATAATATTCCAGACTCTTTGGGTACATGGATGCCAGGGGCTGGGGCAAAGCTTTTACCACAACACCCCAGACTCTTTGGGTATATGGGGTGACCACCTTAACGGGTGTCAGTCCTCCACCGGCCTCTTTCCCTAAGAGATTGACTCATCTTGAAGAAGTGGGTGGGTTCTAGGGTCTTGCTTTATTTCCTGGGCTGCTTCAACAAAGCTGGTTTCTCTTCAACTTGTCAGACACAGAGGGCAGAGACCGTCAAGAGCCAGTCAGGTGGCTTGGCTGTTGGCCCAGGCTCAGCCTCCCCCACTGCTTCCTCACTTGACCAGTTAAATGCTGACCCTTTTGTTGGAGCCAGGACCATCCCTACTCTCCTGGTACCTGTGGCTCCACCTGCCCCAGGAACCACCACAAAAGCTGCCCCAAGCCTCCAACCCAAGGATTTGCAAAAGAGAAAACAAATGCGCTCACACACAAAGACCAACTGCACTGCTTCTAGGTATCCAGTGACAGATCCTCTAAGAAAGAGCTTCCTTCCTCTTCGAATCTCTGCTGGCACTCCAAATGCCCGCCAGCTGCAGCAGGAGACTGATCTGGAGCTCGGCCTCTGGTTAGGACCCTCCCTCCACCCCCATTTCAGGGGAGGATCGAAAGAGGCCAGCAGTGACCTTAGCCTTCCTTTGCCCCAGTGCCACCTCAGCCAACTCAAAGTCACCTCTGCTCCAGCAACTCAGCTGGCCAGAACCAGCTAGGGACTCCCTCCCACTCCGCAGCAGGATCCAGGAACTTGCCCCTATTGGGCAATCATTAAGCAGATTCTTGGCATTCCTCTGTCCCTGGGCAGCATGCTTCCCACCAGAGCAGGAGCAGAGACCCACGACTGGCATTTGGACATGCAGCTGACCAGCAAGGTGGTGCTGTCCGCAGCTGCGCTACTCCTGGTAACTGCGGCTTACAAACTCTACAAGTCCAGGCCTGTCCCAGCTGGTCAAGCAGGGAGAAGTAACAAGGGCCACAAAGCAGACTGTGAAGCAGAGGGCTTGGGGGAGGTTGCCTTCCAAGGGGCTCCTCCAGGGACCTTGCCAAGGGGACCAAGACGCAGGAAGGCTAGCAGGGGGGCTGGGATCCCACTGGACTGCAGCTTGGAGGACCCAGGAGACTCCTGCCAACCCGTCACCTCCAGATCTGGGGAGTCCACAAGAAAAGGCTCTGATGAGAATCAGGAAGGGCAGCGCCCGGAATCCCAGCATGTGTCTCCTCCCTGCGGTGGCCAGGAAGCCGGAACAGCTGTTAGAGGTAAGCCCTACCCTCCCCACCTCCCTCAACTGGGCTGTGAACCTACAAGCTCCCCAGCTAGACTTGCCCCTGGAGTGGGCGGCAGCTGCGTGGGTGACAAGCTATCTCCATGGCCAGACGGCAGACCCCCAGATCAAACAGGGTCTGGGGACCCAGGTGCTCCCAACTGTTGCACGGATCCCACTGTGGTCAGCAGTGACATGGACCAGAGCTGGGTCTTCACCCATGTGACAGGGGTCAACAAGGGAGAGGCTGGGGCCCTCCAGGCTGCTGCAGACATGGGCCTGGCCACCCAGCAGCGGGAAGGAGCCACCAATGCCTCCTACACCTTCTCATCTGTGGCCCGGATCCGGATGGAGGAGAATATTATACAGAAGGCAGAGGGACCTGGGCCCAAGCTGAAGGGGAGGGTGTATGACTACTTCGTGGAGTCCACATCAAAGGCTGTCTCCAGGCCCATCCCCTGCTCGGCAGCTCTGGCTGATGCTCCATCCCCTGGGCCTGGGCCAGAGCCCCTGGTCACAGGAGCAGACTCCAGAGGCCAAGCTGATAATCCAGAGGGTGCAGCTGAAGTAATGTCCCCACCTCCTGTGCCATCCCCCTCTGCACCAGGCTTCAGCAGAAAGGTGAGTCTTCTGCAGATCGCTGACAACCCAGAGCTCCAACTGCAGCCTGAAGGTTTCACCATGCCTGCTCCTGCCCACCTGGACCAGGAAGCCCAGATCAATTCAGCCTGCAGCCATGGGGAGCCCCGTGTGCAGCTTGTAGCTGGGACCAATTTCTTCCACATCCAGCTCACCCCAGCATCAGCTCAGGATGTCCGCCTGGACCTGGGCAATTGCTACGAGGTGCTGACCTTGGCCAAGAGGCAGGGCCTAGAAGCTCTGAAGGAGGCAGCCTACAAGGTGATGAGTGATAACTACCTCCAAGTCCTCCGCAGCACAGACATCTACGGGGGCCTGAGTGGGACAGAACGGGAGCTGATCCTCCAGCGGCGGTTCCGTGGCCACAAGTGTCTGGTGGTGGCCGACGTGTGTCCCCAGGAAGACAGTGGCCGCCTCTGTTGCTATGACAATGTGCAGGATGCTTGGCATTTCCTGGCCCAGCTGCCCATGGAGGCCATGTCCCAGGGTTGCGCTGTCTGCACTCTCTTCAATTATCTGTTTGTGGTGTCTGGCTGCCAGGGACCTGGGGGCCAACCTTCCAACCGTGTCTTCTGCTACAACCCCCTGACTGCAATCTGGAGCGAGGTGTGTCCACTGAATCAGGCCCGGCCACACTGCCGGCTGGTGGCCCTGGAGGGGTGCCTCTATGCCATTGGAGGTGAGTGTCTGAACACAGTGGAACGTTACGACCCTCGAGTGGACCGCTGGACCTTTGCCCCGCCACTCCCCAACGACACATTTGCGCTGGCGCACACAGCCACAGTGTGCGCCAATGAGATCTTTGTCACAGGGGGCAGCCTGCGCTACTTGCTGCTCCGGTTTTCAACCCAGGAGCAGCGTTGGTGGGCCAGCCCCACAGGGGGCAGCAAGGACCGCACAGCTGAGATGGTGGCCGTCAATGGCTTTCTCTACCGTTTTGACCTCAACCGCAGCCTGGGCATCAGCGTGTACCGTTGCAGTGCCAGCACCCGGTTCTGGTACGAGTGTGCCACATACCGCTTGCCTTACCCCGATGCCTTCCAGTGCGCTGTGGTGGAGGATCACATCTACTGTGTGGGACGCAGGCGTATGTTCTGCTTCCTGGCCGACCACATCTCACCCAGGTTTGTGCCTAAGGAGCTACAGGGTTTCCCTGCTGCGAGGGGTACCCTTCTGCCTGCCGTCCTGTCCCTGCCTGTCACTGATGTGCCTCAGACCCCTGTCTAGCAGCCCTTCTGCTGGGCTCCATCTCTGCCATTCACTCTGGGTAAGAAGTGGGCAGGAACATAGCCGTGGGGTGGGGTGGAAAGTTATCTCTCCTCCACCACAGGCTAAAGGGTCTTGGAGAACTGTTTAACATCCACAGTTCTCAGGCCTGCTACAACAGTGAAGCCAGGACCCAGCATTCTAGGACTGCGGTATCCACAGCTGCATGAGCGGCTAAGCAGCACCAAACTTCCAATCAGAATTCTGGCAGGGGCTATTTCAGGACCCTACTAAAACTCAGGGCGTAATCTTATCCCAGTCACAGTTCCAGGTGTCAGGGGGTCCCTCAAGCTTCTCGGCTTTCTGTGAGCCACTACAGACCACTTTCCTAAGCATTGGGGCCCACCTTTGAAGATTCTAGAAGCATCTATAGCACAGATGGGAACAACTGAAGGAGGAACTCAGGATATCCCTGAGATTCAGCCAGAAGGACCGGCATGGCTAAAGCTGAAGACACCCACAGGGACACCTGTTTGCAGAGCACACTGACTAAGGCCCATTTTTTTCTTTTTTCTTTTCTTTTTCTTTTTTTTTTTTTTTGGTTACCCCAAGTTCTGTGTGCTGGAAGGAAGAGAGGTATCATCTTAGCATGAGTTCTATTTGAATATTAGTCATTGCACAACTGAGGTCTTGGGAGATGGGGATGGGTGTGGTTCCAGACCTCCTTTTTGCAGACTACTGCCATGCCCACTACCACCTGACCAGAGTTCAGAATCCTCTCTGCCTGCAGGCCAGGGCAGCCACCACTATTCAGCTCCTCAGCCTGGCCTTCTCTGTGTCTGGTAGCCATCTTGTCTGCCTTGTTGGATGGGAAGGAATGGGAGAAGCAGGTCGGGATGGAGCTAAGAGATGGAAGATTCTAGTGGAGCATCCAGGTCCTCAATCTTTTACATCCAATGAGACCCAATTCCGGGAAGAAAGACGGAGGAGAGCCTGATCCAACATGTTAACCTGCCTACCGTGACTTGTTCCATTCTAAGGGAGACAAAGACATCAGGAAGAAAGCAATGATGCTGTTGGAAGCAGCCAGGAGCCACGAGGTGTGCGTCACAGTTGGGATGGGCCTGACAAGTGGGAGAATAGCACTCTGACCCTGTGTCCCTTTAAAGACCTCACCAGATCCCATGGGTGGCCGTGCAGACCCCTGCGTGGCCACGAAACTGCTGGAACTCAGGTTGAGGGACTTTTTGGAAGATGCAGAATTAGAATGTAGAACAAGGAGGAAGCTGGCATGGAGATGAGAAGAGAGATTTGGTTGGTCCACACAAGGCAACTATCCCTGGCCAAGGGTCTAAGAGGAGGAAGCATCTGAGTGATTCCTGAATTGAAAGCTGAGTAAAAACGATGTCTGGGCCATAGGGGGGTCCCAGGGAGGGAATCCTACCCTCTGCCAAGTCCATGTCAATACTCAGACAGCAACCTTTGAGGACCATCGGGGCAGTGGGAGAGATGGCTTCAGTAAAGAGAGTCAAAGGCTGTTGTGGGATATTTGCACACTGTGAAAATGTATTGCTGTGATTGGTATGATAAAAAGCTGAACAGCCAATAGCTAGGCAGGAGGTATAGGCGGGACTTCTAGGCAGAGACTCTGCAAAGAAAGCATGGCCAGTACAGAGAGATGAGGTAGCAGGCAATAGAACAGAATGTAGATTAAAATTAATTGGTTATTTTAGATAAGAGACTAGTGGGACAAGTCTAAGCTAAGGCCAAGCTTTCATAATTAATAAGTCTCTGTGTCATTATTTGTGAGCTGGTGGTCCAAAGAAAAATCTGATTACAAAAGGGGGCATTGGCGTGGTGGTATCAGGCTGAGGTAAGGTGCTTTTGGAAGATATCTCCAGATCCCAAGAACAAGTGAGACCCGGTCTGAGGGCAACCTCTAGCAATGAGCCCAACAGAATGCAAGACCCCAGTCAAGCTGAGTAGGGTCTGGGCTAGGTTCTAGGCCCAGGAGCCCAGGAGAAGAGGGAATACACACTAGGGAAACCTTCAGAAGACTATGGTGTGCAAAGGTAAGAACCAGGCAGGTATCCCAAGGAAGTTGCAAAAAAAAACAAAAAAAAAAACAAACAAACAAAAAAAGTGTTCAAGACCTAGTGAGTGGTGAGCATGGTCTTTATAGAGGGGGTGTTGGGATTGGGTTGTTGAGCCCCTCCTTATGCCACATGGCAGACATCACCAATCAACCCTGTATCTATTGCCCTTAAAATGACTTCAGAACTGTTTAAAACAGAAATCTAGCAGTCATGGCTGCTAGGTCAGAGCTGGTATGTCATCACTGGCTTGCCAAGGAGCTGGTTTGGTGGATGGAAGTGGTTACAGTAGAGCCAAGTAACCCAGGGAGCCCAACAGAGGCACGTCGGTCAGAGTTCACTGGTGGAATGAACGTGTACAGGCTGTTTGGGCCTGGCACTGCTCTGTGGCTGGGAGAACAGAGTTCAATGGAGAAGAGCGAGCTAGTTTATAGACCAAGCACAGGAAGAGAGAGATTTAACTCAGCACATGCAACTGCCAAGATAAGGGCAAAGCAAGCCAAGTGCTCTGATCAGGCCTCCTGATGAGATGGTATCTGAGGAGGAAGGGGGAGCTGCACTGAGCAGGAAGGGGAGGGTTTTGCCACAAAGTCTTGGGGAACAGAGCTGCTTCTGAGGAGGAGGGACATCTCGGGGTGGAAGATGGGTAGAGGACTGACTGATCTCGCTCCATCTCTGCTAGCTGACTTGGTGGCAGGACCAAGCATAATTGCCAGGGGGTCACAGGTACCATGTCCATTTCTGAAGCCGGGGGCAGCTCACTGGCATCTGCTTCCCGTAGCCTCAGAGTCTAGGCTGCCCATTTGACTTGGGGGATAGCCTGGGGTCTGCTGACCTCCTGGCCTCAGCTTCTGGATGGCCTACGTATCAGCTGGCTCTCTAAGGACCATCTGTCTTGCTTTTTTCTAATAAGAGTTCTTACTGCTTTGGGGGAGGAAAAATGACTTTTGGGTTATTTTCCACTTTAAGCTAGTCCATAGCTCTTTACAGAAAAATAAATCAAGAGACAACTGAAATATAGAGAAATGCATAAGAAAATTCTCAATTCTGCCACCCAAAGGCGTCTCCTGCTAGGGTGCGCGTCCCTCGGGTCTCTTTCTTGTTTGTGGGTTTTGTTTGGCTTGGTTTTTGCTCGGGTGTGTTTGTGCTGAACATACAATTCTGTTGCTTCCTTCTGCACAGCGTTTTCAGAATAAGCATCTTCCGTGTTATTACAAACCCTTGGTAAACATCATTTCAATAGTCACAGAATATTCCACCGAGTGAATGCATCTCGCTCTATTTAAACATGCTCCCCTCCCCTTGGGCCCGTGGATTTGTCCCCCTTGTTGATTTTTTTCTTATCATAAATAAAATGTCCTTTGTTTTCTCCTTCTTCTCTGAAGCCTCCACCAAAACCAGAGAAGACAGGTTAAGTCCTGTCTGGAAGTGCATAGCTGCTGAAACAAACAAAGCCTCTAGCATTTACCCAGAATTGGGGCTTGACCCCTTTTGAACCATAGGACAGACACACAGCCGACACTGGTGATGCCCAGTGTGAAAGTCAAAGCCGGCTGGTGGGAGGGAGCAATCCAGGCATCCTTCATACAGAGTTCGGAGTGCAATGACATTGTCAACATTGCACAGGCTTGTGTACACAACTCCTCACTACCACAGCCCCATTTACAGGTGAAAAAATGGGGCTCAGAGAGTTTAAGGAAACATCTTCCCTAGAGACAGAATTTGAAGACTTTTTGTTTCTTTAAAGTGTGCTAGAGGGACTGGGGGTGTGGCTTGTTCGAGTACTTGCCCAGCAGGCATGAGCCCTGTGTTACATCTCCAACACTGCATAAACTGGGTGTGGTGGGACCATATCTATAAACTTGGCACTTGGGAGGTAGAGACTGGCAGCTCAGAAATTCAAGGTCATCCATGGCTATAAAGTTTGAGACCAGTCTGGGATTCATGAGACCCTGCCTCAAAACCCCAAACAAACAAGTGTGCTGGAAGCCAGACTCACCTTGGCTGGACACCAGCCCCACCCCTGGGATTTTTCTAACTCTGCTTTACCCATGCCAATCAATCATTCTCCCAATGCCTACATTTGTAAAACGGGTTTGTCCCCACCAAGCTCAAGGGGCAGTGTGAGAACAAGGCATTTCCTGTTAAGCCAACAACTCAGGGACAGCTCCAGAACATGTCTCAGAAGAATCCCCAGCTGTCATGGAAGGTGCAACTGGAAGGTCTGGTCCCCTCTCCAACCCTCACATGCCTCAGTTCCCTTGCCCAGGCCTCTGAGGAGCCAGGTTGTCTGTGAATTAGGCTGTATGCTCTTTTCTTGTCTGAGAAGGTCTGAGGTTTCTCAAGATGAAAGCTAGTCCTATTTTAGGGCACCCAGGTTTCAGACAAGTAAGCACCCACTCTGCTCAGGTTGGGGGGGGAGGGTAGTTCAAGACCGTCCTGTTGGCCGATTGGTGGTTTCCCAGGTCAGAACAGTGCCGTTTTCTTTGGAGTTCAAGGGGCTTCAGGCCCTCTTGAGACCCAGCTCCAAGTGGAGAGGCACCTTTCCTTTCAGGTTAGGAGTAACCACTCCCCAGAAAGAGGAGGGCACACCCTGGCAGGGAGATACACAGACACTGGCATCTGGAGCCGGGAGGCTTTGTCAACCTTACCTGGAAGGGCCCTGCAGCTTTGCCACGCCCCCAAGTTCCCTGAAGCTGAAGCTCCAGCTAGAAGCAGCCCCTAGGCAGATGTGAGGCTGTGGCAGAAAGAGGGAGATGAAACCAGGGCAGGGGACACCTTCAGGGAGCTGGGGAACAGAAGAAAGGACAGCCTGGAGGGGAGGCTCTGCAAACAGCTCCCAGCCTCGGGTCCTTTGAAAAGTAAGAAGCAGGTCAAAATAAAACAAAAAATGAGATGGTAACCGAGTTTCAGTTGCCTTTTTGTGTG